TAGAGGGGAGTGTTATATTAGGAGTTGTCATATAAACTAAAATGAAATAAGCCATATTTTCATCTTTGTCTTAACTTAAAGGGGTTTCAGACAACTTACAATATTTCATAAGCATTCAACCCTGACAACAGTTGGGTTTTACATCTTTTAAAGTCAAACGTAAAACTTAAGCAGAAATCCATTAACTTAAGCCTCTTGCATTTCTGAAAAGCAACACAGTTAGTGTTTCCCTACAATGGCTGATCAAATGGAGCTAATTGTTGAATCCATTAAATATACACGCCTGAACTATAGATCTTGTCTTTTGATACAACCTAAAGAGAAAAGCTCATATTGCCTTTATGTGGTTCAATATCACTTCTGAAAAGTCATTTTTTTTCTTATTGTGCCTATAAAATTAGGATATTACCAAGATGCACAATCAGACTTTTTAAATGTAAGATGAAATATTTTCCAAAAGTACAACAGCAATTTAAATAAAACCCCAAGAAATAATGTATCCATATCCTTCTTTTTAAGAAATGTGTAGCCCCTCATACCATAAAAGAAAAAGCAAATAAGCCTCCAATCCATTTAAATGTTCTGTTCAAAGAGAAGTTACCCAAGTAAAAATCAGACCTGCTCTACCGCTTAACAAAAATTCTCTCAAAATGAAAATACCATGAGATACACTCCTTATTAAAATGTGATATGAAATTCCAGACCAGCCATTCTTACTTTTATCCCAAGTGTCATATTTCTATCATAAGAATTGAATTTGAGATGCAGTTTGAACATTTTTTAAGTCTCAGCCTGCTAACGTCCTAAAAGTGGGCCCTGTGGGTGACCTCATTATTCAGTTTTAAATTTAGCAAAGGAGGAACTGACAGAGTGACAAGGACCATGGGCAGAGGAGGCGGCAGTGGAAGGCAGAACCCTCTGGAAAGAATAGACTCTGTCATCTCTGTGAAGAGCTCAAAATTAGAAGGCCGTAACTGAAACTTGAGGTATTCCAGAGCTTTTGTATACTTGGTGCCGAATGACAGTGTCTACAATTTTTCTTTCCTAAAAAGCCTGGTCATTAAAAATGAGGTATCCAACTCAGACTTGTTACTCACAATGAAATGAGAATAATCTGTTAAAAGAAGCTGAAGAATTCTTAAAACAAAGGCTGGGTTTAACTGATGTCACTACTATACTTTTCTGTTTAAAATTTGTACTAATATATTCAAACTTTTAAAATGGCATATAATATACAAAACATTCAGAGGACAAAAAAATGCAACGTTGATAGTGTTTAACAATCCAAACTGATATGCTATCTCCACATTTAAGCACTTTTAAAAAATGTATGCACCCAAAAAATTACTCTTGGAAGAGCATAATGCATACACTTATTTTACCAACATAAAACCTAATACTCAGAGAATTTGGTGCCCCGAGGGGTCCCAGACTGCGAGAGGGCACAGGCTGGGCTGAGGGACCCCCGAGTGCACAAATTTTTGTGCACCGGGCCTCTAGTACATATATAAATAACAAAGAACCCTGCAACCATCAGATTACCAATGCACTATATTTTGTTAAAGCATAGATAATTATTTTGCAATGTGATTTCCTAACCAATTTAACCTGGTAAATATGTCAAAGATTTGAGCAGAGAAAGGTATAACAGGAGGAAGATGGTAATTCCCTACAACAGTATTTGACACACAGTGGGCACAAAATAAATATTTGTGGCAGGGGAAAAGTATTATTACATAATTTCATATCATTTGCAATATATCATTAGAAACAATAAGAGTTGAATGATAATTAGATGCTTATGAATCTAAAGATGCAAAAATAATGTTTCTTAAAATCAACAGAAATCAAGTCACAAAAGCTTTTGGTGAAAATGAAGTTTTAAATATTTATTTTGACATGCTGTTTTTATGAAGCTACAACCTAGCAGAGATGTTGCTGTATTAATATCAAATTAAGACCATGAAAAATAAGACATTGTATATATTATATAATACATCAAGCTATAAAGTTATTAAAATTTTAAAACCAGAATTTGAAAGAATGTCACCAAGCCAATAGAAAGTTGCTAGTATTAAAATTTGTTGACACATGTCTACAGGACTGAATTCACATTCTACTTGATTCAAGCCCTGACTCAACACTTATGGTGACTTCAGAAGCAATCCAAAAAAAGGTACAGTCCACAGGAAACATGTGCAAAGGGCTTTCAAATACTTTCCCTTCTTTAAATCAAAGTACCATTTAAGCACTTTATTTTCTACACAGAATGGTTTAGAATTAGTTGAAATAGGAGATACTGAAGATAAACTGAAGTTATGCATACTAGTATTTATGCATACTTTGAGTATATTACCATAGGTCACTGAAGAGTTTGATGCATTATCATTCCATATGAATTTATCGAATACCTTTACACATACTGCAGTGTGGGCATACAGATTTAGTGTAAGATATGTCCTGATCTCTGTGAGTTTGTACTTTTAGTTTTTAATTTTATTTTATTTATAAGGGTGGCATTTATTCAGGTGTAAAACTCTATATACATCATCTGTACATTGAATTGTGTGCTCACCACCCCAAGTCAAGTCTCCTTCCATTACCATTTATCCCCCCATCACCCTCTTCTACCTCCCTCCACCCCTTTTCCCTCTGGTAATCACCATATTGGGGTGTGTGTGTGTGTGTGTGTGTGTGTGTGCATGTTTGGGGTTTTTTTTGCTTAATCCTTTCACCTTTTTCACCCAGCCTCCCAACCCCTACCCCTCTGATAGCTGTTAGTCTGTTTCTGTTTGTTAGTTTATTTTATTTGTTAGATTCCATATATACGTGAAATCATATGGCACTTGTCTTTCTCTGACTGGCTTATTTCGTTTATTACTCTCTAGGTCCATCCATGCTGTCACAAAAGGTAAGATTTCCTTCTTTTTTACGGCCAAGTAGTATTCCATTATGTGAATATACCACAGCTTTTTTATCCACTCATCTACTGATGGGCACTTAGCTGCTTCCAAATCTTGGCTATTGTTGTAAATAATATTGCAATGAACATAGGGGTGCATAAAGCCTTTCGAATTAGTGTTTTGGGGTTTCTTCAGATATATTTCCAGAAGTGGAATTGCTGGGTCATAAGGCAGTTCCATTTTTAATTTTTGAGGTAACTCCATACTGTTTTCCACAGTGGCTCCACCAATCTGCATTCCCACCAGCAGTGCACGAGGGGCATTTTCATTTCTAATTAAAGTTAATCACAATTTCTACTTAAGTCTTTCGAATTAGTGTTTTGGGGTTTCTTCAGACATATTTCCAGAAGTGGAATTGCTGGGTCATAAGGCAGTTCCATTTTTAATTTTTGAGGTAACTCCATACTGTTTTCCACAGTGGCCCCACCAATCTGCATTCCCACCAGCAGTGCACGAGGGGCATTTTCATTTCTAATTAAAGTTAATCACAATTTCTACTTCAGGATATTCCACAACTTAAGGGGGGAGGGTAAAAAGAGTAGTACAGTTGCTCAAAGGAAGCATGAGTTGAATTAATACAAATTTCAGGAAAAGGATTTGAAGTATTTTTCATAAGACAGGAATCTAACAAGATAAATATGTGAACGTTTTATACTATATTACCAAAGATAAAATCTCCCTGAAAATCTCTTCCATATAAAAATTCAAAATGAAAACTGATCAAGCCATGTAAGCAGAGAATGTACATCAGCATTTTGAGAATTAGTAACCTAATACATAATTGCTCATTAAAACATTCAGCTGCACAGGAAATATTACAATATAATGTAATAAAAGAAATAGCACCTTATAAAATTCAAGTTATCTAAAATGAGAGTTTGCAAAACTATTCTGAACTACAAATCACGTGAAATCATTTGAAAAGGAAGTGGTAACAAAATTTTGAAGTGTAATGTTACATGTTGATGTAAACACAAGCAATAACAACATTTCAAGCCAAAATTATGCCTATATATTATGGTAGGCAAAAGTTCCTTTTCTTTTTAAGTCACATATTTAGTGTTCTCTCTAAACTGGGTTAGTTTACTTGACTAAGCAGCATATCTTAACAGAAGGAGGAAAATTTTTAAAGGACCTACTTTAGAATTAAAACAGTATAAAAGTGTATTTTTCAGTGTATCATTCTATTAAACACACAGAGAGCTTTACTATAAGACTTGCTTTCCAGTGCAATTCAGATAAAATGAGTCTGTTTCAGGCCATAGCCCAAAACTTCTTACCTCAGTACCTCAAAAATGTTATTATAACATGATTTTTATTAGACGATTCCATGGAATAGAGCAGCCTTTCTCAGCCAGAGTTCCAAATGTAATGTTATGATCAGACCTAATGTCTTTATTTTTTAATAAGGGAGGCAAAGTATATACTTATGTTGTTTCTAATCCTTTAAAATCTTTAGAGTTGAAAAGGTTATCTTTGAATGGCTATTTCAAATAAAAATAAATTTGCTTAGTAGTGTAAGTAATTTCAATGGCGTAGACATATTTTCAAATAATATTTTCCAATTGTGACATTTATATCAAAAGTCTCACGACAGTAAAGTATATCCATGCTTCCAAAAACTGTTATTAGTCAAAATGCTCCCTTATAACTTGAAAAAATAGCTCTTGGTTTCAAGAAACACCAATACATTATTAATAAGCTATTATAACTCTGTATTTACTTTCATTTACAAATATCACATAAATTATTACTGGTAGAAATATAATGTTAAATTACTAAACTAATTTCTAAATATTGGTTTTTAAAGCTTTGAGCATACGTTGCAAAACAATTTAGTGAAACTAAAAAAAAAACCTAACAAAAGGGTTTTTTTGCAAATAATACACTGACTATTTTCTTAATGATGATCGCCTACCCAGGCGTTGATAAATACTTGCATAGTTCTTGTAGATATGGACCTGGCACAGTGTGAAGACAAATATTGGCAAACACCACGTGTCTCAAGTTATATTTGAAGAAATAATACAATTTGTAGTATTTCATGAAGTTGTTTATTCTTGTTATTAAAACTTGGACTCAAGTAATCCTGGTTATTCTGGAAAAAGCACCTTGTTTGTAGAGGTCATTTAATCATCCTTTTCTACAATCACCTCTCCATGAAGCACCTTTCTTCTCTGACGTAACATGTGGAAATAGAGTTGTGGAAACACTTCATTGAAAAAAGAAAACAAAGAAAGATAAGCTATTGTTGGAAATTATTTAAACTTGAACCCTCTTAAAAGTGGCAAAGTTTGAAAGCAAGCACATCAGATGCCACCTGCTACCCCTTAGTATTTACAGAGCTCTGGGTGAGAGTACAAATGGAGGCCATAGACCATCTGCCTAAATACTTTAATGCCATACGCTGTGAGGTCTCATAGCAAACTTTGATACTACCTTGACAAATATACTTTCATGATGACCTGGAAGGCCATGTTTGAATTTAGTAATAATTTGGAATATTGTGCCAGAACGTTCCAGCACAGGAGAGCTGCCCGCCTGGCCCCCTTCTGTCCATTCCAATGTCTGTCCTATACCATGAGGGGTATTGTGAATATATGTGTGGATATGCAAGCCCACACAACTCATACCCCCATCCATCCCCCTCACAAACAGCTGCCCCTAGCTCCCCCTGGATTTCAGGGCCGTGTACACTGCCGACATGGTTAGCCCTCAGGAGAACGGATTGGGGAGGAGGCCTATGCGGTGCCTAGATGTACACCCAGTGCCATGTGGGCAGCAAAGTCCATGGCCCTGGGTTTCCAGAGTGTGATCTAGAAGGTGAGGGGTGGAGAGGTGATCAGTGGACAGCCAGAACAGGGCCCAGAGCAGAGGCCCCTCTTGGCATAAGACACTGGGGGGTAGGGGAGGCCGGAGGAATGTCAAGGGGGGAAAAAAGGAGACATATGTAATACTCTTCGTAATACTTTAATCAATAAAACAAAATTTAAAAAAATAAATAAAATAAAATAAAATGTAGGTACTACTCATCTTAATATATGTAACCATCATACTATACCCAGAGGTCTAAATATATTCAGGTCATATATACTTAAAGCTAACTGACCAGTGATTGCAAATGCTTCTCTAACATTCTGAGTTTAAGTGTAGGCTTGAGTTCAAATCCTGACCTTATTTACTAGCTGGGTGATTTTTAATCCATCCATTTAACCTCTCTAATCTATAAAGTCCTCATGATAAATGAGAACTAACAATACTTCTTTTGAATATTAAAATAAGTACTCAAAAAGTACTTTTAATATTTTAATTAGCAAAGAATTTAGTAAGCAAAGCAACATTAGTTATCATTACTAATAATAATCAAGTGGAGAACATTCCCCTGGCTCAGTGGTCGGCAAACTGCGGCCCCTTGAGTGTGGCTCTTCCACAAAATACCACGTGCGGGCGCGCACGTACAGTGCGATTGAAACTTCGTGGCCACACTCAAGGGGCCAAAGAGCTGCATGTGGCTCGCGAGCCGCAGTTTGCCGATCACTGCCCTGGCTGACTGATCTCCCAGCAAGTGGGCCTCTCAGGTAAATGTCAGCATAATAAACTGAGAAGCTGCTACTGGCATAGGATGGGGTCTACGCTTCCCAGAACACCTGAAAACACATGATCTTAAGTTATTAGTTTGCTAGTTTCAACCGTGATCTGTTGGGCCCTGGGTTTTCTTGCAGATGTCTCAGTGGTCAAAAGGAATGAGAGCCCAACCCCTGAAGCTGCAACCATGATATGACAGACACGGAAGCAAGGTCTGGCTCTGCTCAAGGTGTGCTGCCATTCACTGGGTGTCGGGAAAAGCAGGGGACACAAACAATTGTCATAGGTGTACCACTCCTTAGCTCTCCTGAACCAACGCTGGTGAAAATCTAACGAGAGCCAGGCTGAAATGGTACAAGTGAGGGGAATAAAAACACTAACTGACAAAAGTCCATTTTGATTTTTGAAAAGCTTAAAAATTGGCTGGGCTGGTGTGACTCAGTGGTTGAGGGTCAACCTATAAACCAGGAGGTCGTGGTTCAATTCCTGGTCAAGGCACATGCCCGGGTTGTGGGCTCGATCCCCAGTAGGGAGCATGCAGGAGGCATCCGATCAATGATCCTCTTATTGTTGATGTTTCTATCCCTCTCTCCCTCTCCCTTCCTCTCTGAAATCAATAAAAATATTTTTTTAAAAATTGGAGGCCTCCAGGTGCTGGCCAGTTTTTATGTTCATCCCCTTTAGATGACGTATTTTATACTGCATCAATGTAGACTTTAGATTCTATAAACTTTTCTTATTTCCCTTTCCCCTCAGACACCAATCTCTAATTTTATTCAGAAGGGTAACTAACCACCTTGCTTTACATTATTTCCTCCTAATAACGATCAAAATTTGATTTAAACATATATCATTAGTACTTAAATGAAGCAAGTAAAGTCTCACTAATTCATTGCAACTATTGAAAGATGATGAGAGATTAGAAGAGGCCGAGTTACTCAAAATATTTTAAGAAAAGTAGCTTCTTTATTTTCCAGAGCATAGAGCAACACATATAAGACTAAAAAGTACTCCTAGATGATTTCTCCAAGTATATGCTTAATGAATAGATATAAATGATCTGACATTTTCTAGGATAAAATGTTTCTATTCAGATACATAACTCTAAATGCTTACAAATAGTTCACTGATCCATGCTTTATCTTTTCTTTAAAAAAATAAATCATACTTAGCTTATTTTTAAGTAATTTTGAGAAGGTAATCATTTGTAAATTAATTTACTTACCTTTCTTCTCATAACTTGGAAAAAGCCTTTTCTAACTCACTAGCTCTTCAATTATTTCATATTAATGAATATATGTGGGATTGAATAGAAGTTTTTTTATATATACACACTTATTGAAATGTAATTTTCATATCATAAAATTCACCCATTGTAAATGTACAGTTTTAGTTTAGTAAATTTATGCAGATGTGCAACCATCACTACAATCCAGTTTTAGAGCATTTCCATGAATAGAAGTTTTAATGTATTTGTAAGCTGTTACTTCTCCTTGCTTATTAAGCTAGCAATTATGATATCTTTCCAATAACCTTCATAGCATATGCTAAATCCAAGTACTAACAAATACATACTTACATGGTATATACGATGCCATGGTTATAAGAAGAAAATAATAGTAGTCAAAAGAGATATTGTATTTATTAGGAAGTCTTATTGAAAACATTCCAGTTTTCTTCACATATGGTAAGGCAGCGTATATCGTGAGAAGTTCACCAGCAACTCCAACAGGATATAAGATGATAAAAAAATTATATCTGAAAAAAGAAAAACCTCAAAGTTATTTTTCTAGAATAAATATTGAATTTTATATCATGGTTCTTTTGCTACTGCCATGTTTAAACTTAAAAATTCTCCTTCCTATACATATTTACAATAACTTCACATACAAAGGTTAATTTTTTCCTACTTTAATCATTTGCTTATTAATTTAATTATCATCCTTTTTTCCCATAGCAGTTTCCATTTCAAATGGCAAGATCATAAAGTAGTCAACTTACTTTAAAGTAGTATACATTTTTACATGTATATGTAGTTTTTAAACTATTTTGACCAGATAACTGCCACAATATTTTGAATTTAATTAAAAAACGTCTGCCGCTTGCGTCTATAGATGCTTATGGCGTACAAATGGTTAAAGGATGTAAGTATTGATTTGTAAAGCATATGTAAGCTTGTAAAGAATTTTAAAGGTAACTTCTTTGACACCTGGAATCATAACTGACTGATTTATTCCCCTGAAGCTACACATTTATCATTCAAATGCTATGCTTTAAAAGACCAGCTATGATCCTAATTTTACATCTAAACCTTGAAATTACCTATTTGAAGGGACTTGGAAAACCCTTTGTGGTTACTAATTAAAAGAGAATTAATATTTCAGAAAACTGATATTACCTAAAGCATCAGTAACCAGTAATTGTCTAAGACTACTTTCACAACAAAACAAGTAAAACAAGCTGTTCCCTGAATTCGTACATTAATAAATACTGTAGTTTAGGTAGCCTGGCCAGAGTGGCTCAGTAGTTGAGCATCAACCCATGAACCAGGAGGTCAAGGTTAGATTTTTGGTCAGGGCACATGCCTGGGTTGCGGACCAATCCCCAGGAGCGGGTGTTTCTATCTCTCTCTTCCTCTCCCTTCCTCTCTGAAATCAATAAAAAATATCTTTTAAAAAAATAGTTTAGCTTGCTTAAATTAGAACTAAAAAGGATCTATTCTAAATCCAAAAATCACAATTTGTTCATGTGGACTGTGGCAAGTTCCCTGACATAGAGCAGGCCAGGCATCATTTATGCTGCAGTTAGGGCAACTGTCTCCAAGTTCCTACTGGTGTCCAGCAGCAGCCGCCTCAAGGACCCAAGGCATTAAAGAAAACAGTTTTTCTCCAAGTCAGTCATTATGTAACCGAAAATTAAGGTCAAAATTTTGGTGGAAAAAGAATCCATAGTTTATTTAATCATTTTGTTGGCATTAAGAAATATTTATAAAGAAAAATCAAATTTGTCAGTATGACAGAAGCCTAGAGACAATCTTATTCCTATACTAAAGGCCCAGTGCAGGAATTCGTGCACCAGTGGGGTCCCCCGGCCTGGTGTGCGGGATAGGGCCAAAACAGGCTCTCCAACATCCCCCGAGGGGTCACGGATTGTGAGAGGGTGAAGGCCAGGCCGATCGGCCAGACCCCAGCAGCAAGCTAACCTACCAGTCAGAGCATCTGCCCCCTGGTGGTCAGTGCACGCCATAGTGAGCGGTTGAGCAGCCTTAGCATATCATTAGCATATTACGCTTTGATTGATTGAACAGCCGACTGGACAACCGGACACTTAGCATATTAGACTTTTATTATATAGGATGCCAGTTATACAAGGATAAAAGATGGTCGACAGGGACAGAATTATTTGCCCAAATAGATTAACTAGTAAAGAAAGAAAACTGGCCCAGCCGGCATGGTGACTGAGCGTTGGCATGGCGATTGGGTTGCAGGCTGGATCCCCAGTGTGAGGCGTGCAGGAAGCAGCCAATCAATGATTCTCTCTCATCACTGATGTTTCTATCTCCCTCTCCCTCTCCCTTTCACCCTGAAATCAATAAAAATATATATTAAAAAAAGAAAGAAAAATTATCCTTTTCCTGTCCCAGTTTACCCCCTCCTTTCCTTCAGTATATCTAACCTGCTTTCTTTCCAGTCTGTGTAGTTATTTGTATAATTTAAATCAATCTTTTCCAATATCATTTTCCTATCTCAATTTAAAATCATATTACTGAACATATTATATTCCTTTTTCAAGTAAAACATTCAAACTTATTTAAGTCATTTTTATTAACTTTATGCGACTCTTAGCTTTTTTTGGTAGCATTGTTCTTTAATAGAAAAAAAATCACTCCTATGATAAACTCGTTTAAAGCCTTAAAGAGTGATTATTTTTAATAAAATGGGAATAAATTGTATAATTTATTTGACTTTATTTGTATTTTAAAAAGATTACATCATCACTCTCTAAGTTCTGATGGCAGTATGATTTAACTACCATTCAGAAAAAGATATAATGTTCCTTAAAGATTCCTAATTTTCACCTAAAAATTTTTGAAGGGAATGTATTTTTTAAGTTAAACTGGAAATTAAAATGAAAACAACAATATACAATGATCTGTTTGGTGGACTTTCTAAGAATACTTCTAACACAAATAGGATCAAGTTGTATTCAAACTGCCACAGTAGGCTAACTAGTTATAAATAAAAAGGCATTTCTAAAGTGAAGCTTTATTTGAGAACAATATCTTCAATATTTGAACATAAGTACAAATATGATTTTAGGTTCCTTATGGGGATTGGCAAATATATATATATATAGACAGTTGGGATCTTTACAATTTTTGACACAAAATATAATAATTATAATGAACTGACATGATGTATTATGTTAACATGTGCATTTCAAATTTGAAAGATTTTACAGTACCTTATTTAACATCAAGGCAATTGACAAAGGATTTCTGAAGAGCAAATTTTAAATGCTATGGCAGAATTGTGAACTTTTCCAGAAATTCAAAACATGCAAATGCACCCCAAAAGGCAAACATACAAAGCATTCAAGACCACTATCTTCCACAAATGTTATAAATAACAGCAAATTTAAAAAGACTATATCATGAATTTATATTTTTAAAGGCGTTAGAGGACGGAAAGACTGAGGTCATGCAAAATGGCACTAACAAGCATTCTGGATTAGAGTACAGCTTCCAAACCGCCAACATTATGAGGGGCCCAATCACTGAAAGTGAGTGTGTTTTATTCAGATACAACAGGAATAAAAACCAACCAAACACATATAAATGGTAATGCAACTTTCTTAAGACAGACAGTATGTTTAAGCTAAAATTATAATTTTAAGGAATTTTATTACATACAAAATGGTAAGCCAAAAATGTTGAAAAAGAACTATAAAATATTTTTAAAAGTTTAAAAAAATTATATAACACAATAGTGATTATCCAAAACAAAACTGACACCAGCTTACAGATTACCTTCAAACAAGGAATGTATGAGTATAAATATCAGAGCTTTATAAAACATCAGAAATATGGATATAGCATTATTTGAGATGCCGTATTGATAACATTTGAAAATTGAAAATGACCTAAATTCTAGCAATACAAAACTGGGTCCGTCATACTATGGAATATTAAAGAGTTAAAAAGCTAAATCTAAATATACCTATAGTGATTTAGAAAAAAAAAAAGATCTCCAACATATAAACAAAAAGCAAGTATAATGTCATCCTATTTATGTTTTTTAAAACTCACACTGCGTTCACATTTTTGATAATATGAAAAAGTCTGGATGGGTAAAGGCCACACTTTTTCCCTCCAAGGGGTAGGGAGTGGGTCAGGTAGGAGTACAAAGAGAAACTTTGTGTTTATTCTACAAACTTCCGTGCTATTTGAGCCTTTTACAAAGAAAACAGTTTAACAGACAAATGTAAAGAAATGGAAATACTGTGAAACCCTTTTATTCTACCTACATGGGACAGACGTATACGAGATGCACATCTCTTATCCTGTGCCTCCTTGAACTTCTTACCCCCTGGCATTTCACAGAGCTGTTAGTGGGATCATTTTTTGCCTCCTCCATCTTGAGTGGGAGGGATTTTGTTGTGCTCATGCCTGCATTTCAACTATGCAGTTGGCGCAGAGCACATTAAGTTGTTATTGATGTGATTGCCACTAGAAGTACAACAGAAAATGAAATGAACAAACCTATGCTTTGCGGTTTGTTCTCCAAAGAACAATCCTGTTTTTATAATAATTTTGTAAAATATCAGCCGCTCAAAGAATTCAACCTTTAAAAAGAAAAAAAAAATCTTTTGCTTTAAAAATTATTGTTTTAGGATATATATATTTAGAAACTTTGAAATATAAATTTTGTTCCCAGTCCAAATAATACAAATAAGTGTGATTTTTTAAATGTCTGTCGCTTAGTATTTTATACATACAAAAAATTGACATTATATGTATAAGATACTAAAAATTGTGGCTACTACATTGAATATTAAAATAATTTAAATCAATCAGACAAAATGCCATGTTTTTGGCACACTGTTTATCTAATATAATTTCCAAAATGTATATTTTGCTTTTAAAGAAAAACGAATGACCAGTTTAGAGGTTAAGGGTACTAATATAATTTGTCTTATATTGATTTCCTAAAAATATAGATTATTTCTCTCTGATCATTAATTTAAGCCTTTTGAATGCAGCTTATAATGTTTTGCTAAGTATGCAGAACAGCCTGGCATTACATGGCTGAAACACAAATTTTAATTCTCTGGTGTTAGCTCAGCAACAAAATACGCATGCACAGGACTGTGAGAAACTAAACTACAAGGCATCGCCACCTGGCCCACTTAATGAAGTATGGCAAGTGGTTGAGAAGACTGAATGTGTAGAAGGAATAGCGAGTAATCTCTGTCACAGTCCACGCGACCAGAAACAGCACCACACTCTCCTCATTCTGGATCTGCAGAATGACAGAGAAATCCACAGTGTCGTTGGAGCTTGAGCTTTTTTCTCCATGAAGATATTGTATCTTAATTATTTACGGTGTGTCTTTTATTATAATGGAATGGTAGGGTTAGACAGATGTAATACAGAAAACTAATGCAGTCACCACTACGTAATTCATTATAAACACACAACTTCAGTGTATCCTCAGCACAGGAATGGTCACATTTGTACTGAATTCTCTCTCACAATTCACTCCAGCCAATAACTCAGCTATCCCAGGGCAACATCGCCCCCTCAAAACAGCATGGGAACAATCTAACCCTCCGGCTTTCTATTAGTCATCAAATCAGACCCATTCTACTGTAGCAGGAACTCTTGAATCTGCCCACTCATCTTTGGCCCTGCTACCAGGGCCTTTTCATCTCTCATCCAGACTATCGGGACAGCCTCCTGACAAATCTCTCCACTGCTTTATTCTCTTCATGGGTGAAAGTTTTCTCTTAAAAGCAAAACAAAGAAGCAAACAAACAAAAACAAAATTGGAGGCAGCTAGTCCTGTGATTTGAGTCTCAGTGGTTTCCCACTATTTATGAGGAAAGGATACAATTCTACCACCTGAGCATGAAGTTCAAGGTTCTTTATAATCTGAGCTCAGAAATCTCTCTAACTTCATCTGCAAACACTTGATCCAACCCCACCCCAAACTCCCACCCCAAATCCCCAACACCTCTCTCTGGTGACATTAAACTTTGTATTCTTTCCAGAACATGCTCTGAACACGTATGCCTTAACACATGCTATTCCCTCTAACTAGAATGCTAATCCCATAGAAAACCCCTTCTCATCTCATATTTTAAGATCCAGCTAAAATATCACACCCTCTGGAAAACTTCCCAAACAATTCCTTTCACCCTGAGCAGTTATCTGCTCACTTTCCTTATTCTCACAGTATTTTGTTCATATCTGTATTATAACACTTGCCAATTTTGTACTAAAATTTGTCTGCCTGACTCTTGCATCCCTATCAATACTCAACTTATACATTCTTTCCTCAGGGAGTTTATCTTCACTCCCTAGGTCAGGATAAGTCCCGAAGTATATTGCCATGCATGCTGGTCTCTTGGTTCAAAGCACTAATGTTAATATAACGAAAAAATTATTTGTGCAACAACTTGTCTAGTACCCGTATCTATCCCAATCACAGGCTCTGAGGCTGAAACTCTATTTGCATTACTAATAGCCAGATCCCCAGCCTGTTGGCTGGGACTGCCTTATTCATTGTAAATCCAGAAATTAACACAGTGCCAGGTGTACAGAATGCACTCAATAAATGTTGGTTGAATTAATTAAAGAGTTAGACAAAATTAAATAGTACTATTAAGGTAGAGATCCTCTGGAGGATAAAAAAAAAGAGCAAGCAGATGGAACTTTTTTCTCTTTGGGGACTAGCCACCTTTACTTGTCTTCAAATTCTTTTCTCCAGTTAATGTTGGCCACCCTGTCTTTTCTTTCTTCTTCCTCAGTCTTCAGACTCTTTGTGGTCCTGGCCCAGCTATTATATTCATTCCCTGTCCAGAATAGTCTCTCTTTTATTCTGTTAATGTCCGACCCCTGCTTTTAAACTACAAGGCAATCTGAATTAAAAGTCTGGCTTTCCATGTGGCACGCACTCATTGCTCTCTGTATGGCAGTCATTGGTTAGGGACCAGATGGATGGAGTAAGTTGAGTGAAAGATACTGGTCAAGAGGGCTGGAGTGTAGAGTAATAAAAGGGCAGAAGGTCAACAATCTATCCCCATGCAGACGGGGGGGTGGGGGGGGGGCAGTGAGTCCTGCAGGCAATGGAAGGGAGGTTAAGTATCATCCCAAGTAGAGAAAGGCATCTGAGGAATGGAAAGGAGGCCAGAGATCTGTCCTCAAGTAGACAGGAGACTCCAGAGACTGTCAAGAAGGTCAGAAGGGCCCATCTGGGAAATGTTTGTCATGGGTTTAAAAGGCCCAATGTCTTGACATAGTAAGCACGTGTTTGTTTGTCTAAAAGGGTTTAAGCCATTAACTAGATCCGGGTCTCTCTCCTGTCATGCCTCAATATATAACGTGCTTGTTTTCCCTAAGTTCCTTAACCCTTCTAACTTTTTGTCTTTGACATTTGTTCATATCTCCAGAACTACATTTACTTTTTATGTGTGTTGCTACAACACTCAATGCTAAATGAGGAAAAATAAATGGTTTACACTGACAAGTTCAAATTATATAAACAAAGACAATATACATAACTTCAGTAGAAAATTTTCAGTTAAGGATTTGACAGAATAGTAATATTAATTTTAAAAACTGGAACACACCGGAGGAGAGTATATTATGAATATAAAATGCTAATATTTGGTTTTGCTTGTGTTTCAAAGTTATTCTACTAATTCATTGAGTCAATGGACAAACACTTAAATCAAAACCCAAGCTTTCTTTTGTCCAATGATTTGCTTCCTGAAATATACCAGTACTAATATTTTAGATTCCTATTAATAAAAGAGCTGTCTTGCAGGCTCAAGTAGAGAACATGTTCATGTCACTTACTGGTTTTATGCTATGAGTAATGAGCCACACCATAAAGATTCTGGAACTGACTTGGACCCCAGCCACAAGCACAGAAGTAGGTACAATTCCTTAAAGAAAAAAACAAGTCAACCATTGTCTTCAAGGTAATTTATACCAAATATAAAAATTAAATAAAAAACTCACCAATTAAGCAGTGGACTATCTGTAAGCAAATAAAAAAAAATCACAAGTCAGTACCATACAACATAAAATAAATCCCAGTTGACATTGGTTTTAAATAAATCTGTAAGTGGTATGTAATCAGCAAAATTGCTTTTGCTCAACAAATATATTTTCAAATAAATATTACAATGACAAAAAATAGAATCATTGAAAACTTACCTCAAGCAAGGCAAATGTCTGGAAAAATTTAAGTGTCTTCTGAATACTTTTATATAAACCTTTGTGTGTTCCTTTTTCCATATAAAAACGCACCATGGTAATAGCTAGAACCAACCACCTAGAGAAAATGAAAGTATTTTATAAAGTGTTGTCAAAATGAATACAACTAATCTTCCTATAAAGAATGCCATAATTCAAATAATAATAACATGTATGTCTTATGCTCTCAATTTGTTATTCTGTTTTTAAAACCTGAGGAAGAAATAACAAATATTACTTTCACATGAACTCTTCAAGGGGATGAACAGAACATATTTGCAATCAACTACGTACAAATGTCAAATAATGTCCGCTGTATCTTTGGTTCCACCAGATAAACTGACAAGAAAAAAATCAGGTTTATTAGCAAAAATGAACTTACTATAAAGCATTTAGTAATCATATAGCGAATTAAGGTAAAAAGCTGTGTAAATATGTACTTTATACAAATACATAATGCATAACTATATATAATTATAAGTAAAGTCATTAATAAGAATCAATTAATATTTTTATAATTTTCATTAAATAAAAACAATCGTTGTGTCACACAACAACCCCAAATCTATGGGACACAACAACCCCAAATCTATGGGACACAGCAAAAGCAGTCCTGAGAGGGAAGTTTATAGCATTACAAGCCTACCTCAAGAAACAAGGAAAAGCTCAAATGAATGATCTAACCCTAAATCTAAAAGAATCAGAAAGACAATAACAAGAAAATCCCAGAGTAAATAGAAGAAAAGAAATTATAAAGATCAGAGTAGAGATAAATGACATACAGACTAAAAAATAATAATAATAATACAAAAGATCAATGAAACCAAGAGCTTGTTCTTTGAAAATATAAACAAGATTGATGAACCTTTAGTCAGGCTTATCCCACTTCTAGGAATATATCCCAAGAAACTAGAAACACCAATTAGAAAGGATATATGCCTCCCTATGTTCATAGCAGCACAATTTACCATAGCAAAGATTTGGAATCAGCCTAAGTGCCCATCAGATGAGTGGATTAAAAAAAAACTTTGGCACATCTACACAATGGAATACTATGCTGCTGTAAAAAAGAAGGAGTTCTTACCATTTGCAACAGCATGGATGGAACTGAAGAGCATTATACTAAGTGAAATAAGTCAGTCAGAGAAAGACAAATATCACATGATCTCAATCATTTATGGAATATAATGAACAACATAAACCGAGGAACAAAAACAGATCTAGAGACAGAGAAGCATCAATCAGATGCTCAAACTTCAGAGGAAAGGTATGGGAGGGTGGGGGTAAGGGGGAGAGATCAACCAGAGGACTTGTATGCATGCATATAAGCGATGGACGCAGACAACAGGGGGTGAGGGTGAGGGCAGGACTGGGGGGATGGGGGGACAATGGGGGAATAAGGACACATTTGTAATACCTTTATCAATAAAAAAAAAACAGAAACAAATAGAAAAGATCCAAGTCAATAAAATCAGAAGTAACAACTGACATGACAGAAATACAAGATTTTTTAAGAAAATACTATGAACAATCATATGCCAACAAACTGGACAACCTGGATCAAGTGGACAAATTCCTAGAAACACACAATCTTCCAAAACTCGATCAGGAAGAATCTGAAAACCAGAATAGGCCAATGACAACTAATGAAATTGAAGCAGTAATCAAAACACTCCCAGCAAACAAAAGTCTTGGATCAGATGGCTTCACCGGCAAGTTTTACCAAACATTCAAAGGAGAACTAACACCTATCCTCCTCAAACTATTCCAAAAAATTCAAGAGGAGGGAATTTAAGTTCTTTTGACAAGGCCAGCATTATCCTAATTCCAAAACTAGATAAAGATACTGTACTACAAAGAAAGAAAATAACAGGCCAATATCCCTGATGAACATAGATGCTAAAATCCTCAACCAAATATTAACAAATCAGATCTAGCAATACATTAAAAAGATCATACACCATGACCAAGTGGAATTTATTCTGGAGATGCAAGGCTGGTACAATATTCACAAATCAATAAACATGATACATCACGTAAACCAAATGAAGGATAAAAAATCACATGATCATATCAATAGATGCAGAAAAAGCATTCAACAAAGTCAACACCCATCCTATATAATAATAGACAAACATGGTAATTGACTGTACCTTCGCTATGCCTACCATTGGCTAATCAGCACGATATGCAAATTAACCACCAACAAAGATGGCGGCTAATATGCATACTGCAGGCAGATCCCGCTGCGCTGCCCGGCCTGGGGCTGGTGGCAGCACAATCCACAGCCCCTGGCCGCCCCAGCGCAAGATCCTGGCCTGCCGTGTGCGGGGAGGGGCAGGTGGGGCTGGCAGGGCAGAGGCTGGGAGCCTCCCCGCCCCCCCCCAACGGGGGTAGGAGCCCCGGGCGCAGGCAGTTCCTCAGAAGTGACACCGGAGCTGCAAGCCCCAGGTGCACAGCCAGGAGACCCAAACCTGCCTACTCGAGCATCAGGCTTATGCTTATTGGAACTAGGCACCAATACACTAGAGAAGTTATTTTAAAACAAACAACAAAGAAGAAAATAGGTGTCGACCCCAAAACTATGTCCCCACAGAGTGACAGCGAAGAGGAGCGCAGGGCTGACACGCTTCGGGCAGCGAGGATGAACACGGAGCTGAGGGAAGCAGCCGGTGCAAAGGCCTTGGCTGTCTGACTCCATTTACCTGAAATGCCAGGAGCAGGAAGCACATGGGCACAGGAAGCGACCAGTGCTTTCCATGGGGGTTTGAGGGGCTGGGGCCTAAGGGAGAAATGATTTTAGAGGAAGCGCAGCAGCTTGCGGGTGCAGGAGGCCTGGCTCCCAGGTCCAAAATCAGAAAAACAGCTCAGAAAGGAAACCTGAAGAAAGCCCCGGAAGTACCCAAAGGAAAGAAAGGTCTGGGCGTCTCCACGGAAGAGCAAAAGGGCGCGGGACACAGCAAGACGGGTGGCTCTGGAAGCGAAAAGGAACATCAGGAAAGTGGCGAGCACAGGGGAGGGCGGGAGACTCAGCTGTGAGGCGGGCCGGCGTGGGGTCTGAGGAAGTGGAGGCCCAGGGCCAGGACCAGGACAGCTCCTCAGGAAGAAAATCAATTATACTGATAACTACATTAAAAACTAATGAATGACATAATAAACACTCCAATAAAAACAAGTGGATTGCCCCCCCACATCGGCCAGAGGCGAACAGAGACCAGGAGTGATTGGCAAGTCCGGGATGAAAAGTGAAGGAGGACAGCGGGGCACCGGCAGCAGGTTTTCGGGAAGGAGACAGAGCCGCGCCGTGATCCCGTCTCCTGGGGGCGCTCCAGCGCCGCGAGCTTAGACTCGGACAACACAAGCAAGCACCCCA